AGTCGTGGCTGTGGTTCCAGCTGGGATTGTGCCACCAAAGCCAGATATCTGAAGCCAAAACATGTTTTCCTAACTATAACCAAATGCTTTTTGTACCTGAACCTAGCTACATGTGAACCACATAATTCTTGAAATGTAAAGAAGCATAAAGTTTCTCTTACATAACAGCATAAAAAATGTGACGTTCTATGGTTTTGAGAAACATATAATCAACTGATATCAGTCTTTAAACAGCTAATTAGTCAAATCAGGTACAATCTTGATTGGTTGGTACAAAAACCTGCAACCACATGGCCCTTCATGGAATAGTCTGACATAAATGTGTGTGAGTTTTTGTGACCCGTTGCTGTGTTTCCAGCCAGGAATGAGCCACCAAAGCCAGGTATCTTGAGCCAAAATATGTTTTCTTAACTGTAACCAAGTGCTTCTTGTGCCTAAACCTAGCTACACATGAGCCACAGCATTGTAGAAATGTAAAGAAACATAACGTTTCTGCTACGTAATAGCATGAAAAATATAGTGTTCTATGTTTTGCAGAAACATTTCATCAACTGACGTCAGTTTTCAAATAGTTGATTTGGCGAGTCAAGTGTGTTCTAGTAATGGAATGACCAGCTCTACTCTGCCTTCTCTGCCTCTGATTGGCTTATCCTGACATCCTTACCTAAACCCTAACCAATATCTCCCTTCTCTTGCCAAAACATATCTAATCCAACCAACGAAAGCAATGAGTACTAACCAGTCAGAGGGAGAGTAGGGCAGGTCTTTTCTGCGCTACTCTAGGAAACGCACATTTGCGATGGCTGCTTGTGTTAGTCCAAGTCTGATACTGTATTTTCTTGCTGTGTATTACCCATTAGGCTTGCTAAGCTCATACAATGTTTGTGGTGACAGGTGAACAAAAATCAGAGTGTTTCTCACTCCGGGGATACTGACCAGGTGCTTGTCTGTTGGTCATTCAGATTTCATAGAACCCTAGTTACATTTATAACTGTCATTTAACCCAAAGAGGACTGAGGGGGCTTTTACTTTTGTCCTACACTTAGTAGATGTGTTTTAGTTTATACGCCATACTGTTCTTATCTTATGTCAGTAACCTATAAGTGTATATCAGACTTGATTTCTTGTTGGACATTCTGTAGCTGCTCACGTATGTGGAGCTGTATAACCCATACTGAACTCTTCTTGTAGTTCTAAGCCTCATTTTAGGCAGCCTGCTGGGTTTGCAACAGGCTGGGGGATAAAACAGCAAAAGCCTGGACACCATTTTCTTTTCTTTGACTTAGACTCCAACTTAAACAAATAAGAAAAGCCAAGACACCACTGACTCAGGCCTAAGAGCCCATAGGCCTGACCTTTCCACTCCAAAGAGGGTCAAAAGGTCAGAGATGTAACCAGAGGCAAGGCCTCGACAAAGCTTCAGAAGCATCAATACAAATGTAAAAATTAATAGTAAAACTGCTATTTAAAATATAAAAGGGTTTCAGGCAGATATTATACCTGTTTCAACCTGTTTAATAGTGGTTGAAAAACTGAGATAGCTGCTGTGGCAGAATATAAATGTAGCAACAGAAGGAGGCTCAGATTTGGTACTTAGGGAAGCAGAGAAAATGTGTCTCTTTCTGGGGCAGTGAAGAAATACTGTATGTAGTGATGTAATGTGAGATTTATTGAAACAGCTGTCTGTCTGATATAATGTTTCAGCTTCACCTGCACATCCTGTGCTGTGATATCTGCCCTGTTAGCAGCAGAAAATCACCTGTCTGAACCTGAAAAGACTGTGATTCAGGGATAGTTTAACCTGCTGTGAACCAAACACAAGGGATCAAAACATTAGCAGAAATTTAGCAAGTATAATTTGAGCATAGACTGTGAGTTTTCCTACAGTCAGGTGTCATGATCTACATTTTTGTATGAATTAAGGGGTTGCATTTCATTTTAAGATGAGTGACCTGACATTCTGTTGACACAAGTTCTTACTGATTAAGATACAACATTTAAATGTCATGTGCTTCACTTGAAGTCCAACATCTGCTCATTTCTCTGTAATGTCAGATCTGGAAATTTGGTTAATGATGTAAAAAGCTTAGCGTCGTTAAGTGGATACACATGAAGGTGGAGTGAGAGGGCTCATTACAGGTTCTCTCATGATGGATTTTAATGTTACGCCGAGGCCTTGTGACAATGGATAACCAGGTGTGTGACAGGATCAGGCTGTGTGGCTCAACCAGTGTGACAATGTGTGGTCACAATCAGAGAGAGTCACGTCCCAGCGTCCACGCCATAACTGGATATGCATGAGTGCACATGATCACACACACACACACACACACACACACACACACACACACACACACACAGTACATGAGTAATAGGTTGGTGCTTACATACAGCAAACTATAGAGAGAGTGTTGACTCAGCAACTTTGTCATTCCACGTCATAGTCACCACTCAGTTACTAATTTCGATGTTTCGCGGTATCACAGAACAAAAGCATTCACAAAAATGGAAGCTCAAGGTTGAAAGCTGGAGAAAAATCAATATATGGCGCTCAGCTGGGTCAAACTTAGATAATCTTTGTATGCATTTCTACCTCTCTGTCCTTCCTTCTAACATATACCCATGTTCATAACAAGACAGCAACTATTCCTGTGGCAGTCACCAACCAACTGGATCATGGGAGAAATACCGCAAATGCACTGAATCTATGTCATCAGCACATGGCTTTGTCCTGTGAATCAGGTGAAACTGGGGCAGGGTTTTCGTGTGATTCAGGAAGAAGATGGATCACAGGCATGGTGTAAGTATGAGTGTGTCCTGACCCTCTGCGGCATGTGTGTGAGGCAGTGTGTGCAAACCTTTAAACATGAGGAGTGTTTAGCACTCTCTTCTTCTAGAAGTTATATAAAGCTCAGGACTTATACGTGTGATGTTAAAGGAATACTACACCCACAAAATGACCATCTGTATATCAGCTCCCCCGGTGTTACGTGGAATCAGGTAAGAAAACATCATTTTTCTCGCGTGCCCCCACAATGAACGAAAAATCCAAAACCGGAGAAATTTGTGACGAATTGTAGTAAGCAGGGTTGCATTTACCTACAACAAAACTATATCACAACTTGTGCAGTATAATTCAGGTCTTACTTATTCAGTGATATGCTTCCCAACGCATGCATTTTCAATGAGTTCTTACTTGCTACTTATTCAAAACTCTTTTGGGTAGTGCACCTTTGCAAGTGCGTGCATTTATACTCTGCTTGTGCATTCTAGGCATGCTACTCGTTCGTGTTTGGGAAGCACTGAGGGGAAGACTGGAAAAATGAGACTTGGATTATACTGCGCAAGTTGTGTGAGAATTTGTAGACAGATGTTTGGATATAGTGTTGCTCTTGTTAAAAGCTGCCTCCTGTTACTCCAATTCATTACGAATTTTTCTCCCTTTTTGGATTCTTCGTTCGCCATGGAGGCATGTGAGAATCAAGAATTCAGGGTCAAGATTTTACTTCTTCCTTCACACACACTCTCATTTGTCTCCCTCTCTCATGCACATACCCAACCACTTTTCTTTGTCCACAAGTTTCACTGATATGTAGGGCAAAGTCAGTTCGTGCCACATTTAAACTAGATTTTTCTCCAGCTCAGCTCCCACACAGACCTTCATAGCAGTTTCCTGTCTCTTCACAGTCACAATTTCAAACGCGGACACCAGCGGTCCAGATTTTAACTCAAAAAGCTCAAACAGGTTTGAAATTTGTGGGACAAGCCCAAAGAGTAGAAGGAGGAACATTAGAATTTTACCTGTAAACCTCAAACAACCAGGTACTGGCTCTGACCAAGACCTCAGAATGCATATGGTGCAGTCAGACCCCAACTTCAACGATGATTTTTCCTCTATACGCTGGACCAATGTGAGTCTATTTCTCAATGTCTGGGACAACATTCCTTGTTCCAACATTCAGTCAAACCTCATATGATGGTTCAACAAACTACATACCCAGAACAATGATGGTACAGTGTGTGTCCCTTTGTTATAGACACAGGAACGGAGGTACAATGAAGAGGGATTTTGTCCTCAAAAGAAGGTAAAATAGCCACTTGAATCGGCTGAATCAAACTGCTGAAGCTTCACGGTGACATTCCCATATGGAATAAGGATTTTGTTCCTCATTTCCTGCAGTAGACTCGCACAGGTTAGCTATCTCCTCAAGGACAGTATGGGGAAGAAGAAGGATTACTGAGATACACAGACATGGGCATGGAATGTAAAATTAAGATAGTCTTAAGAAATCAGAATTTAGTGTGCCTGTCCATCGATCTAAACACAGACCACTGGAGACGTCATCATCATGAAGATAACCGTGTAAAGTTTTACATGTATTTTTCAATCCTTCCTTTCAACTGAGTGTAAAACAACAATTACAAGGTTATAGCAGGACTGTAGGCCCTATGAGTCAGCTGTATATCTAGCTTGACCATGTGTGTCCTTTAGGGTCTGGTGTGGCAGTTTGCTAAGTGAGCCGAGCTGCTCTCTGCTGGGACAATTAAAAGGCCAATCTGCACACCGGCCATGACAAACCAAAATGACCCAAACCCAAACCCTGGACAGGAGAGCAACCAAACACCATTTGTTGGAAGCTTCAGCCAAATCACCTGTTAGGAAGAAGCTGCACCATTTCAGCACTGGTTTAAGCCGTTCTACAATGTGAAGAGGTAAAGAATGCTGCAATGGAGACAGACAGACGGATAGAGCAGAGGTGTGTGTAGGTTACAGAGAATAAGCGTTTTCATGTGTGGAAATGGATGCAGAGTACATACAGAATAGTGTGGGCATGTGAGCGTATGTGTAGGCATGTGAGTGCAATGCAGGACTGTGTGTATGTGTGTGGGCATGTAGGAATTGATCTGCGTGTGTGTCTGAGCGGGGTGTTGTTGGTGTATCCGTGCATGTATATATATTTATATATATTTGTGGCTTCTTCAGTGCATCTCTGGCTCACCTTCCAGGCAGCAGGTCCTCCAGAGGCCCGAGTGCGTCATCACCTCCTCGTTCTTCTTGCTGGTCTCGTTCTCGTTGGTGCTCTTGATCTTGCAGACGCCGCGCGAGTACAGCCAGTAGTCTGTCCCCACGGCGATGGTCATAAGGCTGAAGGCGGCGAAGGCCCCCACCGTGGTCAGCAGCATCTGAACTCCGCGGTCAAACACACCCATGTTGCCGCATTCCACGAAAGGGGGGCCCCCTTTCCTCTTGATGTACAGGAAGTAAATATTTGTGAGTTTGCGTCGCCACGCCAGCTCGGAAAACGGGGGGTGGGCGGCGTCGGGTGGACGACGGTAGCGGGGGGCGGCTGGGGGGGCGGGGGAATTAGGGGAGCTCGGGGGAAATCGTATGGTTGGTTTTGGGGTGGAACAGCAACCAAGTGAAAATTAAGACGAAGGTGAAGGTTTGGGGGTGGCTGTTTGGCCCAACAGACGGGTCAAACAGACTTTGGCGAGGATGACAGAACCCTCAGCTACAAAGGTTTCTAAATTCTAGTCCTCAAGTGGCAGTAAGTTGCCCTGCTCTGGAAAAAAATGTTGACCTAAAAACACAGGCTTCTAGCAGATCCCACAAGAGACCTGGTCTGCGATCTAGGCCTACTTTGCTGAGTTGGAAGGCCTCTAAACGTCAAACTCTGAAAAAGGCCAAGATAATTGAGAAGATGGAGGATTTTGCTCTGTTTCTCCGTGGTTCGTCTCAGGCCTGAATTTGGCTTTCTGAGCTGACTAAAGCAGTTACATGTATTACAATCCTCACAGCTTCGACGGTGATGTATGGAATGATGTGCATATAGCGCTTGATTTTTCTCACATAGGCCGTCTCATACAGCCTACACTGTTATTATCTGGCTCAAACACACACACACACACACACACACACTCACAGAGCTAAACTTTCACTCACACACACCTGTACACGGACGAACACACGCATGCACGCAGTGTGAATTAATTCATACTGAAAAGGGATGAAGGAACATGGGGGTGTGGGGGTGGAGGGTGGTTAAGACTAACACAGTTGGCGGCCTGATATCTTTAAAATGGCCCCAAAAAAAGGCAAAAGCAGAGACCTCCAACAAATGATGACACAATTCAGGATGAGATCTGACTACCTTGATGTTACCCAGTGGATCAGTGAATTATGAAGGCTCATCTCAGGCATTTCTGAAGAATCAGGCTATCACATGTATTCTGTGGGAAGAGGGTGACGGGAGACAGGCAAGACAGACAGGCAGGGCCCAGAATATGTTGGAAAAAAAAATAAGGACTGGATGTGCTGAAAGAAATGAATGAACAAATTCAAACCAGCAGAATCAAGCGCTCCCCCGAAATCAAGGACAGAATGATAAATAATGCCAAATAATCAGCCGGTACCATGACTGCCATGAAAACCAGCCATCCCTTAAGAGATGAAGGAAAATAAACCAACCAGGGACGATTAACCCCTCTCTCCAAATAAAAAAAAAAAAACAATCAAGCCAAAAAGAGGAAGAAAAAATGTTAAGTTAAGAAAATCAAACGACAGCCTGCTTAGTTTTCCTTTTTCCTAAAATTCTGATCCCCAGTTTCCATATGTGGTCCCTAGACCTTTCTCCGGCGACAGTGGAAATCTGCTATAGGGGGATACAGGCAGCGGTACCGACGGCACACCGCGGAGAGAGGGGCGCATCCAGGCGGAGAGGCCGAGCATCACCGGTCATGCAGCCGGTCGCAGGAATGAGGAGGACACGGAGGGATGGACGAAGCTTCCCGGAGCGTCAGAGCCTCTTCCCCCAGCATCCAAACGATCCTAGACGGTTATATCACGGCCAACCGGAGCACAACGAGCGCACATAGACACACACAGCCGTTTACTGTCATCACATAAAAAATCATCAGAAATCATCAAAAGCAATGATTGTTTTTGTGGCAGGCGTGGGGGATTATGTGCGCAAAAAAGGAGAGAAAATTTCAAGTCGAGCAACACATCAATTCCTTGGTTTCCTCGTTTTCTTCTTCGCAGAGCTGAGATAGAAGTGGAGAGAGGAGAGGAGGAGGAGGGGGTGGATGATGGTTAGAAGCAGCGGATGAAAAAAAAAAATCGACACAACCAAAGAGAGGAAGAGAGAGAGGGAGAGATGTTCCGTGAGCAGCAGCAGCACTTTACGCAAAAACAAGCGCACTGCAAAAAAAAAAAAAAAAAAAATGCTTTTCAACATGTCAGTTCGTCTAATGCTGAATCTCAGTGTTTCATTTTCAGAACAAAAGCACATGTGGCTCCTCGATGAAACACATTCATATGTTCCATCAGTTTGTTTGGAGAATCATTTTCTGGATATCCTTTCCAATATAGCAAGACAACTTTTTTTTGTATAGAGCCTTGCCAACAAAGATGCAGTTCATAGTGCTTTAGCCTATGTGAAGAGAAGAAATGCATTAAAAAAACACACACAAAAATTATTAAATAAAATATAAAATTTGGAAGTGCTAATTAAAATATTAAGATTACATATAAAAGAGAGAATATAAGATAATAAAAAAAATCAAATTGTCGGAACCAGAAATAATAAAATAATAAAAGCCAAAATAAGATAAAATAATATTCATAACAGGTGTAGTCTCTATATACAGACTCTACATTCAGTGACTGTAGAGTCTGTAGGCAAACCCCGGAGATCTTGCCTCAGGAAGAAGAGCAGAAGAGCCCTGGTTTCCGGTTGTAGGCTGTTTGTAGTCCTTGTGATATTACCACGTTTGAGCCGGCTGCAGTTGTTGCCAGGTTAAACGGTCTGTGCGGTGAACTAACGAGGCAGAACATAATTGGCATCACTGCAAACTCTGAATCCATCGCAATGGTTCAGCATATTTATTTATTATTTATTTATATGAACGGAAATCGGAAACGGAAATTCGCCTCCTCCGCCCAAATCAAACCGGAATGCCAAAAAATCTGGGGTCTGCCCCCAGAGGCTGTATCGCCGCCATACTTCATTTACCAGGTTAGCCATTCTGTTATCTTTTCAACAATATTTACTAACATTGAGTAGCTCTCTCAACAACACATTCTCACTCCGACCTCACATATTGACATTTGGTCATAGACCTTCCACGTCCAGATTCGACATGAAAGGTACCCTGGGTGTGGTGGTTCTTCACGTTCTGGGACACCGTGTCAAGTTCTGCCTGTTACATGCATTGTCTTCTTTCAAAATACACTTCCGTTTTCACAGGAAATTTTCCATTTACTTGCAGTCTCTTTCAAAATAAACTCACTACAGCCCCTTTTACACTGCCAGATTTTCCGTGAATGTTGGGCCGTTTTGCCGGCAAGCTGCGAGTGTTTAGACACACAGAGCCGGATTGGCGAGTTGATCCAAGGTGCCCAATTTTCCACCTTGTAGGGTAGACTTATTGGTGAAACCCTTTTAGTTTAAACAGACTGAGGCGGCCTTCCACCATGGGAGTGGGTGTTGAAGACTTGTTCATGTTGATGACACTGCATGTACAACCGCCCCGAAAAAGGCTCATTCTGTATAAACAAAAGTTGGCAGGCAGCATTTTGCTGCACTCCCTGATTTTGTTTTTATACTGCCAATGCTGAAAAAAGACTGATTGGACTTTCCTGCAAATTTGCACAACTCCTGTCTAAAAAGGGTTGACGTCAGTATAGCAACACAAATTGACTTTTTTTTTCGTATTAAAACTAACGCACATGGTCGGCTTTAGGAAAAAAGAACAGGGTTTGGCTTTGTAATCTTACAGGATGCGAACACTGCTCTCCCATGTCACAGCCATTGTTTGTTGGACCCATCCATCCTACTCAGACTTTAACCACCCTAACTTTAGTTCTTTTCTCGTGTCCCCCTGATGCCGCTGAGCGCTGTTAAACTATAACAGCGACAACCACGTATCATACCAACATTATAGGATGGTTTTTTTCATCAGTGTGTGACGCCACCAGTCACTGCCCAAGCGCTAGATTTCTGCAACTTCGGAGTAAGAGCGGGTTGCTCTGGAGGGAATTCCTCTGCTGGAATTAACAGCTGCTCACAAATAGCTAAACATTTGCTAAAATAACTGCCCCACTTTGTTTTCCCTGTATTTATTAACATAATTATATAGTTCTTTCAAGGAAACACAGAAAATTATCTGAAATAAATAAATTCTGGTGGAGAAATACCATTGTTGGTGTTAAAGCAGTCACATTTTAAGGTCCATTGTGTCAGATTTAGGGGCATCTATCGGCAGAAATGGTGCATAATCTCATCCTCAAACCCTGTGTCCATATATGAGGACATCACATTTTGGGTTTACTAGACCTTATACTTCATTCTACATAACTTAGACCTGTTGTCCTCATTCCTGGACACTTTTCTGTGCCATCTAGCGGTATTGAGAGCACAATACACTAATCCACGTAAAAACAAGATGGCAGCCATCTCTGTCAAGTAAGTTCACAGCCAATCCTGACACAAAAGTGGACAAAACCTGATTAAATTTTATGCTTGAAACTTGTCTATTTATGATTAATGATGTTTGTAGCTTGACATGACAACAAATTTGACCATTTTAGAGACACTGTTAATTAGGAAGTACTTGTTTCAAGACATTAGGACTTTATTTTCGTCTCATTTGAGGACATTGGGACATAATTATCATTGACATGTTTAGTTTTTTATACTTATCGGGTCCTACTGATCCCAAATAACTTGGAGAAATTAAAAATGCATATATAACTATGTTTTCATTTGTTAATAACCACCTGAAAATGAGATCAGTTGTGTTTTTGTTATCTAAAAATTACCTGTTTATATCTGCATACAGAGCTGGTCCTCTCATACAGAGTCCACCATATTGTTCTACAGTAGCCCAGCATGGACAAACCAAACACTGAGTCTAGATTGGGCCATTTCTCTTTTTGTATTTCCTGGCGGCCACCATATTTCTCCATCATGCTTGTCACCTGAGAGAGGTTTCAGTTCTGCAACTGTAATAAGGTTTTTTTATGTATCTATATTTCAGTGTATAAGGGTCACATTTAAATTTCTTCTGCGCCACTGATAGAGGTGACAGCCAACAGTCTCTGTGTTGTGTTTAATGATGGTGTCAGACAAACAGCTGATAGTTAAACTCCAACAAAGACACAGACAGCCAACATTTGCATTATCAATTCAAAGTTGATTTGTTTATTGCATACAAGCACTTTGGGATCTGGAGGATACAAGCCTGGTCTGACTTGTTCCCCCAGAGGTGGACTTTATGGCTATATCGTTACCTTGGATTGTTTTGTCTAATATTAAATATGAAATATAAAATAACAGGATAAAAATAGAAACATAACACAAATATGTACATCTTACCACTATAAAACTATTATTGACAAAATTCAGTGGTTATGA